TGAAGGAGGATGATATGGGCAAGGCATGTAGCAAGCATGGGGACGAAAAGTAATCCGTATAGGATATTAGTGGGAAAGGCAGAAGGAAAGAGACCACTAAGAAGGCCAAGACGTAGGTGGGTGGGTAATATTAAAATTGATCTCAGCGAGATAGAATGTGGTTGTATGGATTATATTGATCTGGCTCAGGTTAGGGACCAGTGGAGGGCTCTTGTGAACACGGTAATGAACCTTCGGGTTCCATAAAATATTGTAAATTTCTTGAGTAGCTGCACAACTGGCGGCTTCTCAAGAAGGGCCCAGTTCCGTGAAGTTAGAAGAGTATGGTCCATTATACGTACTGCAGGTGTGACATTCTTTACCGTGCCGTGATGTTCCACAAACATAATTTTCCTTCTGTTCAGCCTGGATAAAACAAGGAACTACAGAGTACGCAACATTCATTCAAGATGAACTTTCCGGGAAATTCTCAGCAGCTTCGTCTACCAATAACAAGTGGGCAGCTCCAAGTTCAAATGACCGCTGTTGCCGCTTTAGCTCGGTCACCGTATCCAGTGTTCAGCTAGGCTGCTGGAACGTGAAGGAATCCGTAAGAAGTAGAAAGTCTGTCCGACGGGTATGCCTGATGACGATATGCTACGTTGTTTTGCAAGATACCGAAGGTGGAAATAGCTGACAACAATTCTACCAGATCTCATAAATGCATTATTTTTTTCGTGATCATTCAAAATTCTTTCCACTGTCAGTAATATACTCGTATGTGGACATTTGTGTTGGTATGACATCACAGATCATGCCTTCTGCAAGTTACTTATTCAGTCCTTGCCTGTACCTTCGCCTAAGATCCTTGGCTTCCGTTACGACAGATATCGATGTTCTTTTTTTTCTACAGTTTGCTTTTGCCTCCACCTCTTCACTTTCAACACCGGTAAATTATTCTCTTCATCTTGTAGTCGTCTCAGTCTGGGGGTTCCTGCTTTTCTTGCACCTTCTGGCTTACTTTGGAGAACTATCTTACATTTCCAATTTTTAATTTTCTTAATGCCCCTTTCCTTGGATAAACTTAGCACATTCCAAATAGCAAAGCACAACTCATTGTTTTTACAATATTTCATTGGTCGTTTTTCTAAATTTTCCATATGATATCTGTCTTTAGAATTCCTAACACAAGTTACTTTACGAGGTAAGGTTGGTACTCTCACGCCCATCTGCCATCCTGGGGGACCAAGGACTTCATTCCATCTAGCCTCTATCCTTAGATTTGTTTAGCATGGGCAACCTACCACTAAGGCCACCGCATAATCAGGGCACGTGGTCCCCCCAACTACATTAAGGCAGTGGTCGTGCGGGAGGCCAGTCTCCCAAGTTCTAAAAAGGGAATATGCACTGTGCAAACGAAAACGACAGAACACGAATGTTCGGATTTTCCCGAACGCTTTTACGCTGTTCGGCGACTCATCTGCACTGAAAGAAATGTTCGCATTCAGCCTAGTTAGTTGTTCTGTAGCCGCTCCACCGTCGAGCACTAGTTTTAAGCATAATTAGTATCTTTAGTACAAGAATTAATTGCAGATGGCAAGTAATAGTCAAGGCAGTGGGACATAGTCACCTTCTTGTCTGCAGGGATTGACTTATGCCCAGTCTTACTGTTACACAGGAAGTCCCCTCTGGCATTTTCTTAGAAATTTTGTTTGCGAGTAACCCAGCGGCAAACTTTAAGAATACGATCACTGATAGGTCCTGCACATCGTAATTCAAAAGTAGGCGTTTTTCAAACCCACACCAAGCAGGTTATCAGTCAGTAAGCTGTCAAAAACGACGTTAGGACTTTAAGGGTCAGAATCCCGCACTACAGCTGGCTGATTGGAGATCCAAAATTACCCAATCAGTGGAATTGAGGGGAAGTGACTTAGCTGAGGAATTGACGACCGGTGACCTCAGGGTCTTCAAGGAAGTCAGTCGCCGAATGCAGTCGTATTACAGCTCGCAAACTATTCGGACCCAAATTCGGTGCCAACTAACTGTGACTATAAATTCTAAGTTATAGCATAAGTGACTAGTTAAACTGTGATTGTAGATACCTACCGACCAGTAATCCAGCCATTTAAGTACCTTAACGACATGCCGAGTGATTCTTGAATAAAGAGAGCAAGTTCAATCTAGTTCATTGGCGGTGTTCACTACTGACAGCAGTTGCAATAGAGTGGCTTGTGAATAAGTGTTGTGTGTGCGTGTGTGTAATATCGAGCGTTCCCCTTCCCCTACATGAGCGAGGCCCAGTTAAACGATCTGAGATTGATTCTTAGCTCTACCACTTGAACTAGCACCTCACCAACAGCATATCCTTACAAATCATCCCCTCTTTCTTTCATAAGATCTGTAAACGAATGCCATAAGTTTACTGGCGCCCAATCCTCTACCCATTTACTTCACAACGAGAAGAGGAGGTGGTAAGGAAGATGAGCGAGGAGAACCAAGCAGGCTGTAGCCGCAACCTACCAGCAGCCGCAGCCAGCAATAGAGACGTGGCTCGACGGTCATAAGGGGCGCCACAAAATAGAGGAAGACGAGGAGGGCGGCGCGAGTTTCAACCATTGTTAACTCATTTCAAGCTTCACGTTGACTTATGTTTTCTTCTGTACCCGATGCACATTTTTATCATCCTCTGCTTCTGCCGTTTGCGCCTGAGTGGTGACAATAGTGAATCCGTTTTTTTTGGCTTCCGATACCCCGTAACGAAAGGCCGTGCCACAGCTCAGGCACTTAGTTGCCTGCTTCCCACCGCGACGGCCCGAATTCGAGCCCGGGTCTGGTCATGTGGGACTTGTGGTGGACAAAGTGGCTCTGGGGCAGGTGTTCTTAAGTACTTCGGTTTCCCCTGCCAATTCTCATTCCACCGACTGCTCGACACATCATCATCATCATCATCATCATCATCATCATCCGTCTCATTCGCCGAAACTTCATGGAATGTTTCCATAGAATTGCTCGCAGTGTGTAACGTTTCAGTACTTTGCATAAAACGCCCGTACGATTTTTGTTATCCTTCAGTCGATCAAAAATGGGTGGCAGAATGTCCCGCCCGGAATTTATTGTATCATGAAAGCGCCCAACCCCCAATTATCCTCCGCGCATTAATTGCACCGGCATTTAAATTGTGCAAGGGCCCTTCATGAACAGCATGATGATGTTCTGTGCTCCAGTATCTGTTATTTTGGCTGTTTACATAACTACTTAAATTAAACCACGCCTCTTCGGAATACAACATAAGTTCTGGGTCAGTAAGTCCATTGAATACCGATTCTTGAAACCACCTACAATACCAAATCCATGCCTCGCAATCTGGAGGCAAAAGGCCATGTACGACTGTAGTTTTGTAAGGCCTAACTTCAAGTTCGTATCAGCGTGAGCTGTACTTTTTGCCAGCCCACACTGAAGAGCTAAAAGACGTAACGACGCTTTTGGGCTTGCTTCTAATCGAATACCGATGCCAGTAAGTTCTTCTTGAGTCAGCGCACGTATTTTTCAGGATTTTTTCCTGCCCAACACCAATCCAGTGGAAAGTTCTTATAATGATATTGAGAATTGTTACTTTACACGACACACTGTTGTCAGGACACTTCTTACGAAAATCTCTAAGGCACTTCCTCGATGAAGTACTTTGTACAAAGATATCTTGTAGGAATAATTTTTGTTCAGTACTACAATATATTTCATATTTGAACACTGCATTCCCAGCACTGCTGAATGTACTCGTATTTATACGGATTTCAGGGACATCTAACCGTTATAAACATTAGCTATATCGAGATAGGGCAATAAGCATCTGGTGACGAGATTCTTAGGCAGCGTCTACACGAGCGCACAAAATGCGTCCGTTGTAACGAACGTACTTTGCTGAGGACACCACACAGTTGCAGAATGCGGTGCGTAGTTTTTTGTCTGCAAAGGAGTCAGAAGAAAGCGTAGCATTCGCCTCTCTTGTTTATTTCTACAACGGACGCATATTGTGCGCTTGTGTGGACGCTGCCTTAGCCGGTCAGCAGTGGACATGCGTGGGTGACCATATTTATAGCCAGTCGATTTGGGATAAATTGGTTATTGAAATATACGGCGACCTATCCCTGGAACAAACCCAACGATTTAAGAATTTTCGCCTGAAATGTGTTCATGCACTTGAATTTGAAAATGTTCTGATTCTGTTTCCTTATAAATATTTACACCGAAGCGTTGTAAAAGATAATTTGTTTTTCGATGTGACACTGAAGCAGTCTACTGCATACAGGAGCAATAACGTCCGTACTTTGTAATTTACCGACGCTGTTCATGCTTTCATTACAAATGCTTGCCACTTTGATATATTAAATTATACAGATGCCGTATGTTATCGAAATATAATGTTATTGTGTTATTATTATATTTATCATCAGCATCATCATTTATTGTCTATTCATTTTGTCTGTCCTTGTATTTGTTTTTGTTGTTATTTTGTACTCGCCCCGAATCTGTACTTAGTTCCTGGATGTTGAGGTCAGCATATAATTAAATAAAGAATTGAACTACATTTTTTTACTTACACACTTACATAACCTTGTATTTTTAGCATGTATTTCTTAAAAACACACGAGTTAAGGCTACAAAATTACACTGCTAAAGATATGTTGGGTCTATTAGCCTTGTTTAAACATTTTTAGCATATCAGGTAAATAACAAGTACAAACATTACATGCATATATACGTACAAACACACGTACATACATACATGCATACACATGCACACTTACACACATAGTGTACATACAGTCACAAGTCCTGTCAGTCGATACTGTGTTACCTCTGTCCTGAGATGATGCTTTAATTCCTACACTATACTTGACCGGTGTAAGGGACTTTAATTTATTTTCTATTTTCTGTATTATGGAGTTGTCAGAAGCGTGTATTTACCATTTAAACCATTTGTTTCGAAGACTTCTCTAAGATATGTTCCTTCTGTCATGCAGGGAAACATCTGGTGCTGGTGACTGACCCAGAGGGAGCTGCAGATCAGTACGCCTTTGATAATCCGTGTTTCAAAGGTAAGTGCATACCGCTGAACTCAGTGCCTGACTTAGATTCTCTGCTGCCAGAGACATTCAACAGTAAGGAAAACGTAATTACCACAAGAGTAATGTTGGCAGTACTGAAATATGTATTTAATGTAAGCCAGCCGTGTCAAACATGCGGCCCCCATAGCCACAAAGTGCGGCCCCTCAACTTTTAGAGCTAATTGATATTAAAATCAATATTAAAATTTTAGTAGAAATATTTTTTGTAAAGACAATTTTCCAACAGACCAGAAAACAAGAAGTCTCACACAGACATAAATTAGCAGGCTGCAGGAAATAATATGTTTTGCTATTTCTAACATAATTTCTTGTGTAATCTCTCTTTTTACATATTGAAAAGCTGTTTGATACTTGTCAAAAATGGCATTCTCTTGCTTTTTAAAACTGTAAGATATGTGACTTTAGGTAATTATATTGAAATTATTCCTAAATAATAAATAGAATTAAATTTCCTTGTATCAGAATCTAATGTTTATTTCTATTTTGAAGTGCGGCTCTGGACTATTTATTATTTATAGGGCTGAGGTGACCCTCTGTACAAGTTGAGTTTGACATGCCTGATGTCAGCAATATTAATCTTCCCTCGTCGAACGTTACCTTCGAGTGGATAGTATTCCTACTTCGTATTCGGAAGATCCGAGTTCAGACCTCAGCCCAGAGACCGGTTGCCCTCCTTTTATAGTTTTTAACCGAAGTACTCGGAGAAAACCTGCCCCAGCGCCACTTTGTCCACCATAAATTCCACTTGACCAGACCCGGGATCGAACCTGGGCCGCCGCTGTGGAAAGCCAGCGACTAACCGCTTGAGCTATGGCGCGGCCTCAGTAACGTGTTAATCTCGTCAATTTGTGGATCGGCAGATAGAATACATTGGAAAGTAGGGAAGTTGTATAGAGAAATGAGATTTGTCTTGCTCGCTGATTACGTCATAAAAACTTGTAAATAATTAGTTTAATATTTGACCTACTTTAGCATATTCGTTTTTTCGACTTTTGTGTTGTATCAGTAAGCTGCCGGATTCTCTGGTTAAGATTTTCTTTGAACTGTCAAAACATGCTGGTGATTTTGTGGGATCAAAAGAGTTATTACGTTCATAACAAACGCCTGTCATCAGGCTGTTTACAGCTAATGCACTTCAGTTATCGTTCTTCATGACCGCCTCTGTGGTCTAGGGGTCAGAGTTCCTGGCTACAGATCCAGAGGTCCCGTGTTCTATTCCCGGCGCTACCAGATTTTCTGAGAAGTAGTGGGTCTGGAACGGGGTCCAATCAGCCCCATGAGGAAAATTGAGGAGCTATTTCAATGCAATAGCGGCTCTGGTTTAGAAAACCGTGGGGATCCGTTGCGCTGACCACGTGACACTATCCGCAAAAGTTGGCACTAACTTCGCCGACAAGCGGCGGTCGCTCGGTCGTTATAGTTCGCTTGCGGACTACAGGCTACGGAGTTTTGTTTGTTTTGTTTCTATCGTACTTCATATCTTCCAGACATCGATTTTAATAAAGACCTAATTACCTCTGTATCTGCATCCTGAGTACCCTGTTAGGTTCTTGAACACATTTTTTTATAGAGTGTAGTCTTCTGGCTTGTACTGCTATGTACGTGTACTTTGGAAAGAAACGATATTTTGGGGGAACATAATCGCCTCTGTCTTCATGGTCGAGAAGTAAGCCAACCAAGAAAAAAGAACGGCGAACTAGTTTCTTGCCTGGCTTACTCTCGACCCCGAAGATGGAGACGGTATTTAGGCTTTGTTCTAATTACATGGCGTTACAACTCAAATCACCATGCTCTTCATAGTCACCGCTGTGAGAACCTAAGAAACATATATGTTATAATTTCATGGTTGTTCTACATGGCGATACTTGTTCAGTCCATTTAATTTTTCAGTATTTAATAGTTTAAAATACTCGGTGAGAATTATAAATTATGAGGCTCCTCTCGGTGCAATATTCTCCATTTTCAATTCTCTGTCAGATCACAACATTTTTCTATCTAAATCTTTAAAATTAATGTATTAATATTACACAACTAGGTACCGTCTGTGGAAGGCAACATTAGAAGTGCTGAAATGTCTGCTACTTTACCTAAATTTCTCATAGACATTATGAATCCTATGCCGTGAAATATTTTCCAGCTCGAAAAAAAACATTTAGAACTAATTGGAGAACTTAGCGGCCTCCGTAGTCTAGGGGTAATGTTCCCACCTCATGACTCAAGGTACGCGGGTTCAAACCCGGCGGAAAAATTCAGGGAACAAGTCCTCCGGGAGGGACTTTAAGCCGTGGGTCCCGTGTCGTAGATTTACGGCACGTAAAAGAACCTCATATCTCTAGGAGACCTCTGAGCTAAATTTGGCCAAAAAGTTTCCCGCCCAAAGTAGTTTCCAATGCCTCCGGTAGATGGGGGAAGTAATAGGTACCACTGCCAGAGGAGGGGGGACCTTTCTGACAGAAAGGGACTAACTATTAGATACCACTGCCAGTAGAACGTTGGAACCTCGCTGGCAGAAAGGGGCTGATAGTAAGCACCAGAACCGGTAGGGTATGGAGACAGTAGAAATTAAAAGGGGGACGCACAATGGACCAATAACTGGTCTAAGTGCATGGGAAAGCCCACCCCCTCAATACTGAATACTGAATTGGAGAACTTAATGTGGTTTGCTCGAAACTTGCTTCAGGATAGCCACAGCCAGTAAAATGACCACATAGCTAGGAGATGGACGGCAGCGGTTCGTTTCCGGGCAGTGACTGGGACCTTTGTCACGGCGTCCAAATTACCTCAGAGACTCACCCAGCCTTTTAATAGTGCGTACCAAGGACTCTCTCATCGGAAGTAAAGCTGTTGGAGCTTGAAGCTGACCATTCTTCTCTATTTAGTGTCAAGATTGATGATTTATGGGGCTTTCTTTTGCAGTTCACATACAGCCCTCCATAACTTGATCTTGAGCATCGAAGAACTTTTAACTTTTATTTTTTAAATTTTTTTTTCCTTGGCACTACAGCCCCGGTGGGCCTAGGCCTACCTCCATGAACTCCGTTCACTTCGGTTTTTCTCGATCTTACACATACGGTAGGACTCCTTGGGCGAGTGATCAGCTCGTAGCAAGGCCTTTTTTTTTTCTTTTTTTCCCTGGCACTACAGCCCCAGTGGGCCTAGGCCTACCTCCGTGAACTTCTCCGTTCACTTCGGTTTTTCTAGATCTTACACATACGGTAGGACTCCGTGGGCGAGTGATCAGCTCGTCGCAAGGCCTCTACCTGTAGACAAACACAGAAAAACGCACACAAACATCCATGCCCTGAGTGGGATTCGAACTCACGATCCCGGCTTCCGAGCGAGCGAGGACAGTGCATGCCTTAGACCACTCGGCTACCGTGACCGGCAACTTTTAATTTTACCTCCTCAAAATTTACAATCCACTGAAGCCTGAAATTAATCAAAATAATATTTAAAAACTAAATTCCAAATTTAAGAAGACAGTGCATCCCCATCAGAAAGAGCAATCAGCTAATGACGTTTAGGAGATTAATTGCTGTTTATTCTGAGAATCATACGAAATTTATAAATACAATCTGTGGGCAAAATGCAGCGTTTCTTCAGTGTTAAAGCAGGTGGTGTGTATAGTTTCTGATGCGCTTTAAAGGGTTAAATAAACGATGATTATCGACTTGAGTATCTTTAGTTTTCATGTTTATAGGCACGTCGTTTACGATTCAGCTCAGCCTGTCCAGAACCTGTTTTCTTTTTAACGTCAGTTGAAGTTCGATGCAGATGCCATGTTCCTCGCGCCTCAGATGAGTTTGACTATGACCTACAGAGATACCGTGTGTGTTCTTCACGAATATGCGTGTCTTGTCCGCGCCCATATTCCTCGCGCCTCAGATGAGTTTGACTGTGACCTACAGAGATACCGTGTGTGTTCTCCACGAATATGCGTGTCTTGTCCGCGCCATAATGACAGCATTTCGAAACGAAGGAGAGAAGGAATGCGCCGTATACACGTCGACAGTCTGACGGAAAGTGCGGGGAGAGGGGTCACACTCATGAGCTGTCACGTAGGGAGCTAATGGACACAGCTGGATAAAACGCCGTAAACATTTCATCATTCGAAACCTCTAAAGCAACAAAACACTGGGATTCAGTGTCGCCGTGTAGTGGCTTAGTACTCATTTGTATTCAGGAGGTCCCATGTTCAAATATCGTCCCGGAAGCTGGCTATCCTGCCTGGGGCTTATCATAGTTTTCCTCAGTCCCCCCAGAAAAATGACAGATTTCGCCTATATTAGGTTAGACTTTCCTTCCACGCCCTTTTAAATGCATTGTTACTAACCATCCATTACTCGACACTATGTAAAGTGAGCTACTAAAGAATGCATAGCGACGAGCTTAATGGTTGTACTGTTTACCACATGTTATCGGGTGAACAAATTACTGAGGATGAGATTGGTGGGACATGTAGCACGCTTGGGGACACGCATACATAAATTTAACTTGCAAGTCTGAAGATCGCTTGCGAGACCTAGGCTTAGGCAGGAAGATGATATTAAAATGGATATTAAGGAAATAGATCTTGAGGGTTTGGACTAAATTCATCTAGCTTGCAATAGAGATCAGTGACGACCTCTTGTGGGCATAGTAATCAGCTTCTAGGTTATAAAATGTGGACAGTTTCTTTAATGTTAACTTCTCAATAATGTTTTTTTTTTATGTAAATTAATTTCAGACTTCAAATGGCAGGCGGTAGCGTAGTTGGTTGAGGCACTATGCTACAAGCCGCAAAAGTCGCGGGATCGAATCCCGAGGTGATCATTGGATTTTTTTTCAATTTACCTAGTCCTTCCAACCGCACTATGGCCCTGGGGTCGACTCAGCCTCTAACAGAAATGAGTATCAGGAATATTCTTGGGGGTAAAGGGCGGGCGGCGCGTAGGGCTGACAACCTTACTGCTATCTATGAGCCGATTGCC